TTGCAGCTATATTGGCCATCTGCAAACGGGCGATTTTCCATTACCATGTTTCATTGCCAGGTTTATTCATCTGGGTAAATTATAACATTTCACTAACCTGAATAGTTAGGCCATTTGGGGATGATTTCCGTTACTAACCATGATTTCCAGGCTTAGGTCGCGACGTGAGGTCGTGATGAAATTTACCCAGATGGATGATGATTCATGGACAATGCATAATAATAATGATATAGTTGTCATTGGAAATAATAAAGCCAATCGATATTAATAATAATTAACGGATACTGATGAATACGGGATAGTAATAATAATAATAATAACAATAATTGTTATGAATAATTAATGGATAATAATAATAATGATTAATAATAGTTGTCAATGGAAATAATAAAAAATCAATGGATACAAGGTGGTGCCCCATAGTTAGCTAAGTTGGTTTATAAGTCCAATTTCACTAGGGTTGATTAGGGGGTTATATCTATAGTTAATGGGGATTATAAACCAACTTATAACTGGGGGGTACCACCTTGTAATAATAATAATTAAAAAATAATGGATAATAAATAATAAAAATACTAATAATAATAATTGTTATGAACGTTAATAATAATTAATGGATAATAATAATGATTAATAATAGTTGTTAATGGAAATAATAAAATCAATGGATAATAATAATAATTAATGGATACTGATTAATGGACAATGAATAATGATAATAATAATAGTAATAATTGCTATGAATGGAAAATGTATACTCTGGGTGTACCGGTAGTAATGGTTATTGGTACTATAATGGATTATAATGGCTAATAATGGTTAATGGATACTATAGGAATAAATGGTACTATATTAATGATGAATAATGGATTATAATGAATAATGGTGATTAATGGAACATGTATACTCTGAATATACCTATAGTAATGATTAATGGATTATGAATGGATTATTAATGGATTATTGATTAACGTTAACTGTACTATGATAAAGATGAATAATGGATTATTATGGTGAATAATTACTATCAATACCATGGATAGTATGGCGAATAATGGATTATTAATAGTGATAATGAGACTATAGTAATGGTTACTAATGGTTAATAAGGGTACATTATAATGAATTGAATGGTTGATTAGTGGTTAGTAATGATTGATTAATGGATACTATGGTCACTATAATATTAATTGATAATGGATAGAATACTAATCTATCATTTGTAATCGTTAATGATAGATAATACTATCTATAAGATCATGAGGTTGTCATAATTATTAATATTGAAAATCAAAGAAATATCATGATGGATAATGATTGATCATGATTTGGATCATGAGGTGATACCATGCTTAATTAATGATTCATCATGATAAATAGTCATTACAACTATGGTTAGTAATTGTCGATAATAATAATCATTAATTATGATTGACAATGAAATTGAACATGGATCAATAGTGGTACTAATTAGTATTCTAATGTATTCTAATGATTCGATTATGGTAGATAGCTGACAATCATAGATTATTATGATGCAATCTATACATAGTCATATGATTAATCTTTAATCATCATCATTGTCATTATTATGGTTTGTCATTATCAGTATCACAAACAACCATAAGATTTGGATTATGGTTGTTATTATCATTACTAATATTGATGCCCTTATGGATAATGATGGACGATTAATCATGATAAATAGTGAATATAACTATGGCTAGTCTATCCTTAGGAATGGGTAATAGTAGTTACACAGACTTTATAATGGATAATTCAAAAGTATTTGAAATGGTTCAATAATGATACTAATACAGTTATGTTATATACACTACCATTGTCTGTTAATAATGATAATACTGGATAATAATAGTAATAATGGATAGTAATAAATAGCAATGGATAGTAATGGATAGTAATGAGTAATCATTATTCATAATTAATATATAAATATGAGTGGACTTGATAATCGTGGATACTGACGGACAATAATGCACACATATGCACAAATCAAAATGGATAAATATGGATACTGAGAGTAATATATTGATAGAAAATTAAATAACCGATCCTTGTCTATAAATAGACTATATGATTATATATAGAATGGTAAGTGATAGTGGTGAACAATGGATAATGGAATTGATAATCATGGATAATAATGAGCTGATACATGAATTATCATGAGACAATGATGGATAATGTTGTTTGGACTGTTTAAAACATGGCAATATTACACAGTACATAATAATGCTATAAAGATATAAAAAAAAGATCATTAGATTAAAACAGTACGTAAATACGGTTCACAAGATCAGTACATAATAATACTATATATAATTAGTAACATTATATAATGACAATAGTTTAATGATTATATTAGTACATAATAATACTATATATATATAATTTATGCTGGTTAGTAACATAATGACAATACTGGTTTACGGAACTGCAAGGTGGTGCCCAGTCGATAGCCTGTTGGTTTGTCAAAGAACTTAGGCTTACAGTCGATTCGATACTTAAAGTACCCTCTGGTAATTTAACGTAGCTATTGAAAATGGCCATAGAAATAGTGGATCTACCCATTGATAGCATGGTGATTTTCCATAGTTATGTTAGTTTACCAGAGGGTAGGTTATAAACCAACTTATAACTGGGGGAATCACGGAATCACCCCCTTGTGATAGTCATGGATAATGATGGAGAACGCGATTTGAAATGGTTGATAATGCTAAACATATTAGATAATAATAGGAATGGATGATAAAAATACTAATGGGTAATCAAACAATGCACTATTACTCGGATAAATGATCATCAACCAGTAGAATCTGTCTGCCCCAATTTCCAAACATATTATATAATTATGGCATATGAAGCAGTGGACAGCTTGTTATGTTGTTCACTATATAGATTAAATACCGTGGCCAGTTGTGTCAATATGAGCCACTCTGCGAGCCACTCTGATCATGGCTTTTTTCATTTGCATAGTAACACCCAACAAAGAGACAACAGTATACAATGTATCACTAGTTTTGCAGCTTTGTACTTTATCTCTGAATCTTTTTGTGGGTTGCACCAATATCATATCCCACCAAGAAAAAGGGCTGTGTTTCTGTTGTCGGGATGTCGTGCTGGGAGGCCGGCTTCATATAACCTGTGTTTCTGTTTGGAAACTCCCCACATGTTTCACATGGATTTACCATGATTTACCTATTTTTCACATGGTGGTTTTCGAGTTCGCTGCTACGAACTAGTCATTACGAGAAGATCTTCACTCGAAAATTCCGGGGATCTGGGAGGCGGACATTCATGAAGCTTGCCTCAGGAAGACGCCACAGCTTGGGAGTTGAAGCACCGGACGTGTTTATGACCCATAGCCATATGCGAAGAAAATGGTGCTGGTATATGCAAACTGATCATGACTGATCATGGGGTGATCATTTCTGGTAAATGTTGCTGTGCAGATTAGACACCATGCTTCGCATTTGGGATAGCGAAACCTATCAACCAATAGGGTGGATTTGGTCAGATCCCACGGGGTACCAATAGGATTTTCACTAGCTTGGGGTATTAGCCTGGAAACGATTGGTTTCTGTGTCTATCCCTTTCAGGACTTGCAAAACATGTATTTCCCCAACATGGAGCTGGTGAATCTAGTGCAGACCAACTCGATCTATATACCCGTAACTCCTAGTTACCGCATGTTACCACTAGATATCAAACTGTTTGAAACTATACGCAGATGTATATACATACAACATATCACGACTCTTTTATGAGCCGTTCATAAAAAGACATGTTCAGGTGCTGATTCACAGTTAGCTCACCCATCCTGCTCTGTGTCCATTCATGAGTTGGTCATTCGCACACAACCAGCGTCGCGAGCACACAATAACTGTGAGCCAACACAATGTGTCTTACCCATTGTTTGAGCAAGGTTTGCTAGTTAAATCTCAAGTTTCTACTAGTGTCTACAATGGTTTCAGGATTTGTCGTAATAGAGTTGATGATACAACTTGAAATCTCTACTTGGATGTGCATCCCAGTTAGGATTTGTGGTTTATAAGCTATATATATATGACCTATCAAGAAGCTGTATATAATTGAAGCCAAGCTACCATCCATGTTCTGCTGGTCTCCAAGGTTTGACTCACTTGCAGCAACTGCCTCAGATGCGTGCAGGGGACCACGCACATATCACATACATATCACATAGATAGATTCGATTGTATTCGATTAGATCCGATTGAATTAGACAAGATCAAATAATAGTGGATTGGACTGCATTGGATTAAATAGATAGACTTCATATACATTTATGTATGTGCATGTTTATATATATATATGTATATATATACACATATTCTGTGTGTATATAATTTAATGATATGTACATATCTGCACATGACCTGGTGGATTGATCCTACTGCTTCAGCTGGATTTTTCAGCAAGTCGCAAATCGCAAGTTTCATCCAGCTCTTGCGAAGAAACGCCCAGTGCCAGCAGCACCAAACACCTTCGGATCATTGAAACAATGGACAGATCTGCGATTGATGTCGCGGATCCGAAAAAAGGTTCAGTAACAAATCTGGGTGATCTTGAGCCGAAACGTGCAGTCACGTTTCACCAAAACGGTTCAGAAAATGGTCCTGGCTCGTTGTATTTCATACTGTCACACGTTGTCGGACTCTAGTCTCGGCTGTAGAGGTTTGGGGAGGCAATTCAAAGAATTACCGTTGTTGTTTGCACTTTTCAAAGCCTTCCAAGCTTTCCGACTTGAAGGCCCCTCAATCCTATTGGCATCACTCCTATTATTCCAACATATGGGGGGTTCCTGAAATAGGGGTACCTCCAAATCATCTATGTTAGTAGGATTTTCCCTTACAAATCCCTTACAAACCATCCATTTTGGGGTACCCCCATTTATGGAAAGCCCCATATCCCAAACATTGAATAGGCACAACCCAAGCCATCCAAAGGGTCGGGAGCACCAAGATTTCTTCACCCTCCGGAATCTGTCGGCAAGGATTGGCCGCATAGCCAAAGTTGTGAAAGGTCAGGTACCTGCAATGCACGCAGGAACAGTTCGCAAAGTTGGTTTATTTCACATAGGATAGGGTTTATGGATGTTTATGGTAGCCTGGTATAGATATATCTATATATATATAGTCTATGATATATCAGACTAGTTAATGGATGCTAATAGAATAAATATAAACCAACATCTAAACCAACATAACCAAAAGGGGGCACCTTCCGGAGCGTTGCGCTGAAACGTACCGATGTGGTCCACCAGATTCATCCAGAAAATTACAGTTTTGGTCGACCAACCGGGCTGAACCATGCTGAAATCAGCGTCTTCAACACGGGAGATGTGTTTGTTTCTATATTTAGGGACATTTCTAGGGATTGAGTTCACAATGGAGAAAATTCCTCGTGATTTTCACAGGGGGATTTCACCATCCGGGAAGCCCTCCAAAAGCTTCCTGTATTCGCAGTCGTGGCAGGAAGTCACCAGAACTTAGAGGATCACCCCATACGTAGACTACGTGGTTTTACGTGGTCGCTGGATTAGTTCACCCATGTCACCCATTCATGGGATAAAACACATTGATATATCATGATATATCATGATATATCCACTTTGGGAACTTGGACTTACTAACCAAGAGCAACTTGATCCATTTTTGTTTGGTTGGTGGTTTTTTGCCTACCCCTCTGAAAAATCATGGAGTTCGTCAGTTGGGATGATGAAATTCCAATTAATATGGAAAAACACAATTCATGTTCCAAACCACCAACCAGTATATAACCATCATATTCCCATTGTTGTTGGTTTATACCCTGTTTTTAACCACTATTAACCAGATATATGGAAAATCACCATTTTGGAGGGTACCCCCAGTTATCATCCATTTTAGATTGGGATTTTCCGTGAAATAAACCATCCATTTATAAACCAACCAGTTTTTTTTGGGGTATAACGGTATAACCATCATATTCCCATTGTTGTTGGTAGCCTATGTTTAACCACTATTAACCATCACTATCAACCAGATATATGGGGGGGTGGAATGGGGTCCACCAATTCTTCCAGCTCTTCGACCCGACACAGACAGATTTCTGGATCCACAAGTCCACAGCTGACGTCACAAGCGAACAGGATAATAAGAACTGCTGTCATGTTGAGTTTGATTTATTTATTGTATTTGTATATATGATATAATTTATGTGATATATATATAGTATTTATGTATTTATATGTAATAGATGACTATTTATATGATTTATATATGTATTTATACCTGCATCCTCACGCAGCCTAGGTATGAGCCCGAATAAGTTCCTAGGTATGATTTATATATAATTATAATATATACATATTATGTATGTATATATATATATATATATGTATTTATATGATATAATTCTAGATTTCTCTGTAGTGCTCTTTAAATATGAAAACGCGAACCATTTCACGGTGAAATGGTACCAAGATTCTCGGAGGGAAGTGGGGCAAACTCCTACACCAAGCCGGTTAAAGGGTTGATCTGCGGCAACTGGGCTTTCAGACTGCTCATCGAAGGCAAACTTACCTCAGCGAACTGGGTAACTGCGTGCCGTTCTACAGCCGGTTTCACGTGATTTCCCTGTTTCAAAGACTAAGGTCCATGGCAGATTCGACTTGTTTGATCCTATTTGTGAAGAGTTTGTGATGTTATCACCAGCTGGGCCAAACTTCAGATTCTTATTGACTTAATTATGTGCATTCATATATGAATGAATATAAATAAATACCAACCACTTTCCAATGATAAACACATGTCTTTTGGTAAAACATGTGGCACTTCCACCACTATTTATCACATGCATCATTTTTTCCAGATTTTTTTTTGGTCAAACATGTGCCATGAAACCGGGGATAAGACCCCACTACGGTAACTACATTTCAATATACCGATTTTGAAATATATGAACAGGTATTTTAGACTACTGATGACTACCTCTGGGAAGGTTTTAGTTGGCCCGGCCATTTAAACATACCGAATCAAATTCAAATCATACTGCAACTATACATTTAATAATATGGCTTAATATGGTTATTATATGGTTAATCATATTACCATACAGTATATTAACCATATATTAACCATATATGACATGTCAATATAGGTATTTGATACCTTTGATACCTGGGCCTCGCGCCCTCCAAAGGTGGTGCTAATCCTTCGGTCAATATCTGTGGATCCAGCGAAATCCTGCACCAAAAGGATAGTTGATATGTTGATACCGATTGATACCCTATAAATAATATTAAATAATGGTATAAAGCAAGATAAAGCAAGTATCAACTGGTGCAGGATTTCGCAACCACAGTAATTTATCTGTATACTAGTCTGGGTGCTTTCCAGAAACCCCTTGCCGACTGGTGCCACCAGCGGAGCGCTTGTCGGACGTGCCGAGGGACTCATGGCTGCCTTCTCTACTCGACCCATCTTGTGGTTGTTGAAGCTCTCCTCTAAGGTCAACCTTGCCACGGTGGGCGTACGCCCCATGGTCGATCTTTGGTCGTCCATTTTTTTTTTGCTGGCTGTCGGCTGTCGTTATGTTGAATTTATAATTTGTAGCAAATATCTGAAGGATTCAACTACCTATCCATGGAATCCATGGCCCTTAACACAAAACACAGTGGGATTGCAACTCTTGCAACTGAGGTGAAAAAAACACTTACCTTCCGCTAAACTAACATAGACCCTGGCAGTCATCGGGGTTGGAAGACTGGTTTCCACTAAAAATTGCTAACATTTTCAGGGTCTATGTGAAAATTTACCAGAGTGTCAATCATGTCATCTAGCCAGTTATGACTCTTAAGGGCACTGTGGGGAATTTTAAAACGGTTAACCGTTTGATTGGAGCCTAGCCACTCACTTTATGATATTTGGCTGGTGGTTGTACATGACTCGCACACATTGTCTGCTAGACAAACTATAAGAGAGGAAGGGTCATCGAACTATATCAACATATTCATATACAGAATTGACTTAATCTAAGTATATCAACTATTCGTATCCTCAAGAATCTCGGAATTTGAAATGACATTTTTGTTGATACCTATTAAGTAAGGCCTTGGAGTGAAGGGATCTTGGCCCGACAACGTTGGAGGTGTAGGTGAAATTGTCAGGGAAACAAAAAAGTGATGACATCTGGGGGTGTAAACACCAACCTTGAGGCGATCTATTTCTATTCACATTCCCCTACAAGGTGGTGCCCCATAGTTAGCTAACTTGGTGCAATTTCACTAGGGTTTATGGGGGTTATATCTATAGTATTCATGGGGATTATAAACCAACTTATAACTGGGGGGTACCACCTTGTAATATTCAATTCCAATCGGTGACCCCCATTGAGTGAATAGTTCTTTGGTGTTTTTTGGATGCACAAAAAATCTACGGAGGAAGGGATATTCTTAGTGAACCTTGCGGTTGCTCCCAGCACTCCGATGGTGGTTGTAATTTACCTTACCTATAACCAGAAGCTTGGAGAAAGCTTGGAGCAACCCCAAGTTACGGATCATTGTTGCAAACAGGCTTGAACATCAAACTTCTTGCAAACCATGTTCTTTTTTGAGCGGAGAGGGCGCCACTGGCGAACATGTACCGAAAATCTGATGTGAAATGCCAGGGCCCAAGAATTGAACTGCACACACAAACACACAGTCGGACACACAACGTTGCGAGAAATCGCATGCAAAAAGGTGGGTTGTGAAATGTTGTGAAGAGAACATCTCTGAGACTCTGTTCATTTTCATGAATTTCTAGGGTATGTCAAGGACCCTTTATTCAGTTTTCAATGTCTGAAGTCTTAGCATCACAAAATTGTCCGACGGTTACGCATCAGGATCCGGGATCAAAAGCCTGGTACCCAGCCATTGGTACCCTGGTTATTTCACATCAAAATTTACCGTCTGGTAATTTAACGAAGCTATTGAAAATGGCCATAGAAATAGTGGATTTTCCCATTAAAAATGGCGATTTTCCATAGGTATGTTCGTTTACCAGAGGGTAGTTGGCTTTAATGGGGGCTTCATCCAGGTTTTGAGTATGGAAAAAAATGCTTGGCGGAAAATCTCCCATTGTCCCATATGATCCCTATGAAGATTCCCGTATTTTGTTCATAGGCTTTGATGATGATCTGCTTGGTGGTATACTTATATTGTGGTTAATATACTGTTAATAATGGTTAATGTTAATGGGTATTATATGGTATCATATGATATTATATGATATTATATGATATTATATGCTTAATGATGGTTAATCATAATCTGGTTGGTGGTTGAGCCCTACCCCTCTGAAAAATGATGGAGTAAGTTCGTCAGTTGGGATTATGACATTCCATTCCCAACTGTTTCTGGAAAGTCAGTCAAAATTCCATGGAAATTTCCAGTCACCACCAACCAGTGATATATCCCATGGGTGATATGGCTACCCTCTGGTAAACTAACATAGCTATTGAAAATGGCCATTTATAGTGGATTTACCCATCAAAAATTGTGATTTTCCATAGTTAATCATAGTTATGTTAAATTACCAGAGGGTATCATGAAGATCCCCAAGGCCAGGCCGAGTCAGTTGATCCATCCGAATCCATCCGAATCCATCCCCGTCTGATGTCCTGAGGCCTTCACTTGCCCTCTGGAATGGGTCCTTGCAAAGGTTTGCTCAGCGCCTGTCGGTCCATCACCAAAGCCGGTGATTAAAAATCAGCCATTGGCCCATTGAAATGGAAAAACATGTGAAAAAACATACAAGGTGGTACCCCCTAGTGATGTTTGTTGGTTTATAATCCCCATGAATACTATAGATATAACCCCCAATAAACCCTAGTGAAATTGGACTTATTTGCACCAAGTTAGCGATTCCGAACTGGGGCACCACCGCACGTAGCCATTCATAATCATCTCTCCAAATCATTACTAGGAGGATCATCCCACGAACCGTTTTTCTGGTTCGTAAGCCTGGTGAGTTCGTAAGTCACCATTCAGTGGCTCATTCCATTTATAAATCTGGGTAAATTATAATATTTCACTAACCTGAATAGTTAGGCCACTCCTCTTCCGTTTCCCCGGCCCATGCCCCGCGAGCAGACATGAACCGGCTGAATAGTTAGGCCATTTGGGGATGACTTCCCTATAAAAACCATGATTCCAGGCTTCGGTCGCGACGTGAGGTCGTGATGAAATTTACCCAGATAAATGGGTGAACTAAGCGTCACTAACCACTTGGATGATCCTCGAAGTTGCAAACTGGACCACTGAGAAATCATGGAAATTCTCCCATGGGTCAACCAACGGCAAGGTTACCCGCTGGTAATTTAACGCTATTGAATGCTATTGAACATGACCTCTTAATGTGATGATTTTCCATAGCTATAATGATAACCACGTATGATCCATGGGACCTGCAGGGACCCTGCATCATTAGTCAGCCACAGTCTGTCCATACGGAATCTGGGTGACCTGGACGTCCGGTCTCGCCTCAATCGTGGGGTTGGTCAAGATCCGCTTGTCCGCGGTATTGTAGGCCCACTTCGCCACCTGAAAATTCGCCACTTGGAACACGTGTTTCCTTTTTTTTTGGTGGCAGAAATCGGTCCTACCTGCTGTGTGATGTGGAGAGTGCAAATCTATTGTCTCGAAAAATCCAAATGCTCGCAGTTGAAGTCGCCTGGCTTTGGTGTGTTTGATTCTACATCTTCTCCATGTTCGATCATTCAGTAAACAGCTGAAAAACCAGTCACCCTTTAAACAAAAATGCGAAAGGATAACCAATTCTGTTGGGCATCCTTTTGGTTTGTCAAAAGGATGGTTTATCAAAAATTGTGGTCTACCTTCTCAACCCAAGGGCCCAAGGATTCATATTCCCCATGAACAATGGCCATTTTTCTCAATTTTCGGACATGGCAATGGCTCAGGAACACTATTTTTCCCCAAAAAAAGTGGGATTGTCCAATATTGACATTGACCAGTATTGTGGGTCCAGGTAGGTATCTCATTTTTTTTTACCAAAGCCACTCAAATACAAAATCATGTCCCCATGCATGTACACTAAAAAAAAGTTTACATGGAAGTTCTCATCCAGTTTGTGATATACATTCATAATTCATGATCATATGTAGTGTGTATGCATGTTATATTATAGGGATCTATAGATGAATTATGATAACTCATGAAGCTGAAATGAGGCAATTTGGAGATTATTCCCAATGTAACCATCACTTCCAGTGACATCGCAGCGAGGTCGTTATAGTTTTCTCCAGATATATGCAAATAGGTTATTACCTCCCTCTATACCTGGAAATCAAAATCATCAACCTATATATTCATTATATTCCCACGATAAATCCCTAGCATGATTGATAACCCTATGATGTTTGCATCTCCCCAATGTCAAGATGCGAAAAAAAAATAACCATTCAATGGGTTGGTTTGAGGGCAAATCTTAACCGGAAACCATAGATTTTCCCATGACATATGGGGCTTTCCTTTCTGGATTCAATTTTCCCTTACCCTCTGGTAAATTAACATAGACCCTGGCAGTCATCGGGGTTGGAAGATTAGTTTCCATTAAAATTAGGCTATTTTCAGGGTCTATGTGAAAATTTTCCAGAGGGTAAACCAATCCCAAAATCACCATGGAATGATCCCTTAAAGGCTTCCCAGCCATGCTCATTCCCATGGTTTCGACGTTCGGCGCGGCATCCACCACTGGCATTAAGGCCACGTCATCCACCTCGATGAAATTTCCGTGTCGTCGAAAATGGGGGATTGACTTTCCAGTTAAGAGGCCTCTAAAATGGGAAAATGATGGGACCCATGATGGGAAAATTATGGGATTTTTTTATGGACACACCATGGGAAAATGATGGGACAATGATGGAAAAAATGATGGGAACATGATGGGAAAATGATGATGCACCGGCCGGGATTTTGGGATAGCCTAAAATCTCAGACAAAGCAAAACAATACGTAGTACGGGATCTTCTGGGCTAACACTACATGATAATGGGGTATGAATCTGGGCAAATTATAATGTTTCACTAACCTGAATAGTTAGGCCATTTGGGGATGATTTCCCTTACTAACCATGATTTCCAGGCTGAGGTCGCGACGTGAGGTCGTTATAATTTACCCAGATGAATGGGATATCATCGTTTTTGAAAAAAATACATAACAGTTTACGAACTGGAAGCCATGACACATAGAAATAGATTATAGTATGTTTTACCCACATAGATGATAGAACTAATGATTTGCCCATTAAAAAGGATGATTTTCCAGAGCTAAGTTACTACATTTAGAGAGGCTCATGGGAAATTAATGGAAATTATATATTACCATCTGGTGATGACTAACATAGCCATGGAAAAACCCAACCATAAATGGAGGTTTATAGCTGGGAAAATCATCTATTTCTATGGGCCATTTTCCATGGCTATGTTAGTCATAACCAGAGGATTTTTTAAGAGTACAGAGTTCGTGAGTGGGTAATTTCACCCCAGTCACAACTGGATAAACAGGATTGGTACTAAACTCATCCATCCAAGTTTGACCCATAAGAACTGTAGCATGATTCCTAGGATCTTAATCCTGCACTTCGAAAGAATCCACTGACGGAGTCAGGCGTGAAATCAGCTAGCACCCCTGATGCAACGCGAATTATGAAGGGGCGCCTACTAGCTGTTACTAGCTGTGGAGCTGTCCCCTCATTTAACTGCTATTGTAACGATAAGTTGTAAAACCCATCTCATTTGTCTGCTATTCTGCATACAGTGACATTAAATGACATTGGTGTATGCTTACCGTAGTGAAGGGGCACTTCTAATATCTCATATGATTCATATGTTGGATTTTGGTCCAACCGGTGGGATGAAACCAGCCGCTGAAATAGCCGCTAGCTGCTGATTAAAATGTGGTTTCAATGAAACACAAAAACAAGAGACAACAACATCATACTGAGATTTTGTTACTGAGAAACCATGTTTTTTATGGAAGCCAAACCATTGAGACTGAAACCAACCAGTTATGTTCCATGTTTTGTCGCAAAAAAGGACAGGATTATGTCCTACCTATCCAGTCGGCGACGATCTATCTGGTTGGTGGTATACCTACCCCTCTGAAAAATCATGGACTTCGTCAGTTGGGATGATGACATTCCCAATATGGAAAAATAAAATTCATGTTCCAAACCACCAATCATATATATATATATATTATAACTCCCAATTGCAAACTCCTAACCAGTCAGTTAAGATTGCTGACGAATTTTACTGAGTGAAGTTGGCTAAAAAACTGTAACTCTAATTTTTCGTTTGGACTGATGGTAGATATATCGAACGTTATGTGGGAGCACATGGTCATTGTGGGAACCCCGCCCCCCAACCTGGCCCCCCTACGCCCACGATGGGTTTGCGATTCACGGCCTTGGGTGCTGCGCCAGTGGGCCTCGAGGCGACAATTTTTGAGGCCCCGCGCCAGGCGTGTGTTTTGTGCCGTGAAAACAATGGTCTTAGCCATGTGTTTACTGGATTTTATTCAGATTTAATGAGATTTACTGGGATTTATTCAGATTTAATGAGATTTACTGGGATTTCATGAGATTTAATGAGAATTTAATGGGATTTGCATAATGGGATTTAGTGGGATTTAAATGTGGATTTGAAAGGGATTTAAAGTGATTTCACTATCGTATAATCCAGTGATATATGGGCTACTGAAGGTGAGGCCCCCAAGTTATGTTTATTGGTTCATATACCCACAAACTAGTTGGATATGTCCACCATAAACCATAGTTAACCTAGTTATCAACCAACTTAGCTATCGTTGGGAGGCCTCACCTTGTATCACATGTGGAGGATTGCTTCAACCAATTCTTGGAACCATCAATCCGTCTGGAATCTTCGGCTTCTGTGAATTGTCTCAACCAATCTTGCCATCAGTTCTGGATCAAACACGGACTCCCAGAAAGTCAGGGGGAGAAAATGATGGCATAAATATCAACTGACATAAATGACGGCTATTGTATTGGTTAATATGCGCTAACTGACATAAATTGTTCCATAAATTGAGCTGCTGATGATATCGGTTACAGTACGGTGAATGGACATGATCCGGGTGATGGGATTCCTTGCATAAATTTGCCGCATATGGCTGTCAATGGGCACGTATCAAAACATATTATATATATATACATACATACATACATATTCAAAATCTCTATATTCAAGCCTATCACAATGTGTCTGTTCATTTCAATAAGCAGTTAAGATACTATCAAGGGAATCAAGGGGTGTCTCAGGAATCTAAATTGGAGATACTTATTGCAAGGTCTATGTTTACGGGTTATGCAAAACAATATTATATCCAACATATTCTCTGACAAAGCGCCTCCATTTTAGATACCTACAAGGTGGTGCCCCCCGAGTTATGTTTGTTGGTTGAAAAAAAAACATAGTAAGTATAGATATGTCGGAGTTATCTACCATATAAACCATATATATCTACCATAAACCATAGTGAAATTGGAGTTATAAACGCACCAACCCTTGCGAGCGATTCCGTGTCGTGGCACAGCAACTGTTCCAATTTTCCATCATCCCAATGCCGGGTAGGATTTGAGAAGCAAACTACCTGGTTGCTATCCTAATAAACTTCATAAACCAAAGTTGATTCACATTTTTTGGAAAATAAACCAAAGCGAGTCTTAATCTGAAATTTGACATTGCAAATCCACGATTTTTGTTGTCAACTTCTCTTTTTGGTTCCCCTAAAGGGGAGCCTATGCACCAGTCACTGAGCATCGCACAAACTTGTCTTTGCCTTGGGCTTTTCCTGTAAGCTGTGATGCTGAATGAACAGTCACGATATGTCACGATTTTTAATGGGAACATTCACTATAAATGGTGATTTTCCATAGTTATGTTAAATTACCAGAGGGTATCTATACTGCTACACATAACTATGGAAAATCACGATTTTGCAGATTGTAGGGCTGGGAGTTAAGAGGAAAGACACCTCAGCTACAACATCGTCCCTCCTCATACCTTATGTTTCTCACCTACAAAAAGGGATCCCTATGACGTAATTGGAAGCAGTTGGTACTATATGGTGCCTCCCAAGTGAAAAAAATGTTTTTACACCCCATTATACAAGTACTGTATAGCAGTATAGATACCCTCTGGTAATTTAACATAACATGGAAAATCACCATTTATAGTGAATGTTCCCATTAAACGCTGTGATTTTCCATAGTTATGTTAAATTACCAGAGGGTATGTGATATATAATCTACCATAAACCCAACAATTACCCAGTAAATTAATATAGAAGCTGCTAGGGGTTGGAAGACTAGGGTCGGAAGATTTACCAGATGGTGCCTTTTTTTAACAGAGACTGTAGTAATTATATGATATTCTGGTTGGTTGTTTTTCGCCACCCCTCTGAAAAATATCACTTCGTCAGTTGGGATGATTATTCCATTCCCAACTGTTTCCGGAAAGTCAGTCAAAATTCCATGGTTCCAGTCACCACCAACCAGTATATGTCTTGAAAAAAAACACATTTGCCAATTTTTTCTGCGCCCAACCAGCCCCATCCCCACCTCTCCCTCGCTATCACTGTACTGCGCTAGGAGATCCATGGAACTCGGACCTGGTACAAAAAGAGTTGGACAAACCATGGATTTTCCCATGCTTTCCCTGGGAAAATGATGTACAAATATGTACAAATGATGGGTTTTCCACATCGAACTCTTAGTTTAGAGGATGGTTAATATAGATGTATACAGTATCATATGGTTGGATTTTCCCCGACATGTTTAAGAACATTCATATGCTACATAGATTGATGACATCCTTACATGGCCAGAAAAAAATGTTCTTCTTCCCGACTACTTGAGACGCAATGGGTCATTCTTCACGGTTCAACCAATTTCGGGTTATCGAATTCTGACCAAACTTCTGACCAAATTTTAGTCATTCTTAGTCATTCTAGTCATTCTGACCAAATTACAGACGATTCCAATTCAGAATTTCCTTCCCGTCACCGCTAAATTCTGAAGTGTTCTTGGTGAAGTCTCTAAGCGCAGTCTCGCCATTGCAGACTGCATAATACATCAAACACATTTGAAAAACAAAGTTGAAGTACAGCTTGTCATGGCTATGAATGGCTTTATTAATTATTAATTGCATAATAACGCTTAATCATGGTTATGACGTCTTTTTAATAGCTATTAAGCCCACGCAGGAAAACAATGGACAAGATAAATCGGCGCTTTGACGTTGTACATCAGCAGACAGGATGACCATAGGCTGATTACCCTCTGGACAGGTTTGATTAGTGGAGGATACCCTCTGGTAAACCAACATAGCTATGGAAAATAGCCCATGTGTAGTGTGTAAACCTGTTACCTATTAAACATGATTATGATTTTCCATAACTATGATGTTTACTGGATGGAAAGTGACAAATGGAATGGTTACCATGAACAGTAACAGTGTCATACAAAATAATAAGCACGTCTTTAGTCAAACACCCTGCAAAGACATTGAATTTCTCGAAACATGTCGAAACTCTTGACACATTTCCCATGACATGATCCCGTCTGATCCCGTCATCATCTCAGGAATGTTCCCTTCACAAAAAAAACAACTGCGAAAGTCACTGGGGATCATCATCACAGTTGAAAAATGTTGAGCATAACCCTGTGAACCACAAAGCAACAATTTCATTCCGGGCCAAGATATATATATATAATATATATATATGTATATTATTAATAATAACAATAATAATAGTAATATATTATATATAATATAAAATACATAAACTATGATACATAATATATAATATATAATATAATATATGTATATAATATATATTATATAATTATTATATAATATATAAAACATTATATATAATACATAATATATAATAATTTATATATAATATATAATATATAATATATATTATATAAAATAAAATATAAAATATAATATATAATTTAATATACATGTATATAATATATATATATGTCCCCCGCATGCTTGGTTTTATACCCCAGTGATGGCAGGGTCCTTTTGATAGTGAATGGAGAACGCTAGGAACTTGAGGACTTCCATCAGCACTTGACTCACCACTTCTCCTGTTGTTCTTATTCTCATAGTTCTGTTGGTCCTTTTGTTGGGTAGAATCTGAATCACCTCAACAGCCTGATCATCGACATGGAAACTCATGGCCTCCCGATAAATGATATACAAATGGCTTGTTTTTTTCTTATCGTTTGGTGAACTTCTTCATAGCAGGTCCAAATCTGCCTCACAGGTTCCAAAACTTTCCAGCCGGCCGTTTCCAGAGGCCTGGGACCATCCAAGAGCAGAGTGGGGGCGCACGGAGGGTGGATAGATTCGTACATATTACGTGTGTCCTGCATGAATGGCATGTGAATGGCTATGAGTATAGAATGAGTAGAGAACATTGTTTCATGAATATTCGCTTCTGGGAACCACATGTATGTATGGTATGTAATGTAATGTAATTTAATGTAATACAATGCAATGTATTGTAACGTATGACTGTATGACTGTATGACTGTATGACTGTATGACTGTAGGTATGTATGTATGTATGTAAGTAAGTAAGTATGTATGTATGTAAGTATGTATGTAAGTGTGTATGTATGTATGTATGTATGTATGTATGTATGTATGTATGTATGTATGTATGTATGTATGTATGTATGTATGTATGTATGTATGTATGTATGTTCTTATGTATGTTCTTATGTATGTTCTTATGTATGTTCTTATGTATGTTCTTATGTATGTTCTTATGTATGTTCTTATGTATGTATGTTCTTATGTATGCATGTTTTTATGTATGTATGGTTTTATGCATGTATGCATGCATGCATGTATGTGTACAGAGCATGCATCTAGATACGTACACATGTACATGAACCAAACACATAACATGTATATCATTCAATAACATGATAGCATGTAATATCAAGCTATCAAGACATGTTATCGCAACATAATATGCACATGTTCACAGCACGCACAAGCACAAAGACAAACAAGATCACCCCGGGTTTCCTGCTGAGACGAATAGGACAAGGAAACACATGTCCGAAGCATCACCTAAAACCTTCCTGCAAAACATATCCTTCTAGCTGGCTATAAATCCACATTGAACTGGAAAAATAAATAAGACTGCCTTTCAATAGTTGATTTACCAGAAGTTTGGTGACAATATTGGAAACATATTGCATAACCCGACATCAACTCCTGGTTCCTCTGGGTCAATCCACTTGTTCTGCCTAGTATTTGCTTGTGATTTGTATGCCTACAAGGCACGTTCGCAAATCATCCAGGACCAAAAACATGGTTTATTGCAAGAACGGGCGATGTGGCGAAACGCAGACAGATACCATAGATACCATGAGTTAGTAGTACTGGTGATACTCACCCTGGATCCACAGACAGCCCCTCCAAAGGTAGCCCAGAAGCTATAACTTTTGTATATCGGCACAAGCTTCTCAGTGGTTATCCCCTAGGATCCTCATGCGAGGCAAGAATAGAAAATAACATAGTTGAAAGTACTAGTCACTTTGCTTTCCTTTGGTGGTCTTCAATCTTGGCCGCACTCCAAACCCCTGGCTGCGTGAGGTTTGAACCTTATCAACCCCCGACCAAGCACTTAATGCCCAGCCGATCCCGAAACAGATCCTGCCATCACACCAAAATAATCCCATCCTCTCCAATGACTGGCCCCCCAATCCATAAATAGAACCAAAACTTGGTGGTAAACACTTTCAAGTTGAGTGCGCCGTGAATTCTGGTGGGTTTCCTGTAAGGGAGATATAACTATGGCAACTGCGGTGTTCATGGGGCGAAACTAAACCATAAAAAAATAACAGCCTAAAAAGCAAGCCTTGGCTGTTTCCAACAAAGTACCCTGCTGTACATCGTTAAGGGATCTCTTCGAGCACCGGATCACTTAGAACACCATGGGATCACTTAGAGCACCAAAAAACTGGATCACTTAGAGCACCAGAGAATGAGACCTTTATGGTTTGACTTGGGGACACGGGGCTGGGACATGAGGTGGGTTGAGGGGACCAGCGTGGTGGAATGAGATAGGGTTTGACTTGGGGACACGGGGCTGGGACATGGGGTGGGTTTAGGAGACCAGCATGGTGGATTGCATTAGAGCACCAGAGAATGAGACCTTTAGGGTTTGACTTGGGGACAGCTGGGACACGGGGTGGGTTTAGGGGACCAGCATGGTGGATTGACTACATTAGAGCACCAGAGAATGAGACCTTTATGGTTTGACTTGGGGACACGGGGCTGGGACACGGGGTGGGTTTAGGGGACCAGCATGGTGGATTGACTACATTGGAGCACCAGAGAATGAGACCTTTATGGTTTGACTTGGAGACACGGAGCTGGGACACGGGGTGGGTTTAGGGGACCAGCATGGTGGATTACATTAGACACGAGAGAATGACACCTTTTAGGCGTTTCACATCACTTTGTGGTCTAGAACGCCTGCAGAGACATAAGAATGGTCTTCTGACCAGAACGATCAATAATTAATTCCACAAATTCTGACCAGAACCAGGTCCAGAAACATAAGAATGGTCTTTGAGGTCAACATGCCAATTCGATGGTTCGCCTCCTTGTACTCACAAAACTATCAGCAATGGGGGAAACATCAGTCCCATTCAGGCGTCCCGCGATTCCACCCAGGCCATGCTGACACGCATGCTCTATGTACATATGTCTGTGTATGCGTCCCTGTGTATATGTGCGTGCATTGCACAATGCTTGCATGCATCCATGATCATCCATGCATGTATTTATGTCTATCTGTCTGTCTGTATATTTTAACCCCCCCTTTTGTGCAAGCTATGTGTGTGTGTGTATGCATGTCTCTACGTATGCAGGTAGGTATGTAGGTATGTAGGTATGTAAGTGTGTAGGAATGTAGGTGTGTAATGTACTGGTATGTAATGTACTGTAATGTACTGTAATGTAGTGGTGTGTAATGTAACGTAATGTAACGTGATGTGATGTAATGTAATGAAATGTAATGTAATGCAATGTGCTGTAGTGGTAGGTACTGTAATGTGATGTGATGTAATGTAATATAATATAATGGTATGTAATGTACTGTAATGTCCTGTAATGTAGTGCAATGTAATGTATTGCAATGGTATGTTATGTGATGTAATGGCGTGTTCTGTACTGTATTGTAAGGTGATGGAATGTAATGGTGTGTAATGTGGTGCCATGTAATGTAATGCAATGTAATGGGATGGGATGTTATTGTATGTTCTGTTATCTTATTTGGAGGGCCGGAGAGCAGAAGCACTTGGAGAGGGTTTGCATTCCATCCCTTCGTTGACTCGGCAAACACAGAGTTTCCCCACCCATTTGAACATGGGATGGGTGATACAATGTGGGGCCCTGTTTACGATAGCTAAGTTGGTGCAAAATAACTCCAATAACTATGGTGTATGATACTTATAACTTACAATAGTATTCATGGGGTTTATAAACCAACTGAAAAACCAACTCATAACTGGGGGGTGGGGCCCACATGATAGGTGAATCTTTAAATGTTGTATCACTCTCATCCCAGCTTCCCAATGGCGTATCGATGTCCAAGGTCAAACCACGTCCCCAGCCCAGTGATTTGAAGGTGGTTTATAACCACCATTAATGAAGTATATATATATGTTATAGTATAGTAGATGATATAAGATATATCTATATACTTAAAAGCTTTAAACCTTTAAACCCAAGTGACCTTGGAGTTATGTTCACCAACTTAGCGATGAATCGCTCACTGGAACACAACCTTTTAGGATTTTAGTGGATGTTCATTCTCCCGACCATCTCAGAATTCCCGACAGTATCCCCATAATATGTCCCATCGTATCACATCAGTTCCAATATTATCCCATGAATTCCCATGTTATGACATATGATAAATGTTCATGAATGTTCATGAATTCTCATTAATTTTCATTAATTGTCCAAATTGTTTTGTTCCATCCAATTCCATATTCTCCCCAGGAGTTCCCATTCCAACATTCACTAACTGAAGGCGAAAAAAAGAAGGTTCGTGTCGTCTCCAACAGCCGGGGATCGTCTGCCTCAATTGACAAACGCAAACCTCTTTTGCTTCGATATCGGTTAAGGGACGTGTCAAACAAACTAAAGGCAACCAGCAGAACTGACAAGGACATACGAATCGCCACAAGGAGCACCAAAGCTTTGAAGACTCGATGGCAAGGTCACCCGCTCCAGGCTTTGGTTGAAATGACAGCCAAAACTCAAGCTTTGAAGAGTCGATGGCAAGGTCACTCGCTCCAGGCTTTGGTTGAAACACTCGCCAAAACTCAAGCTTTGAAGGGTCGATGGCAAGGTCACTCGCTCCAGGCTTTGATCGAACTCCGTGCCAAAACTCAAGCATTGAAGGCTCGATGGCAAGGTCACCTGCTCCAGGCTTTCGTTGAACAAATCGCCAAAACTCAAGCTTTGAAGAGTCGGTGGCAAGGTCACCCGCTCCAGGCTTTCGTTGAAATGAAAGCCAAAACTCAGGCTTTGAAGACTCGATGGCAAGGTCACCTGCTCCAGGCTTTGGTTGAAACACTCACCAACACTCAAGCTTTGAAGAGTCGATGGCAAGGTCACTCGCTCCAGGCTTTGGTCGAAATTCCTGCCAAAACTCAAGCTTTTAAGACTCGATGGCAAGGTCACCCGCTCCAGGCTTTGGTTGAACCTATCTCCAAAACTCAAGCTTTGAAGACTCGATGGCAAGGTCACCCGCTCGAGGCTTTGGTCGAAATTCCTGCCAAAACTCAAGCTTTGAAGACTCGATGGCAAGGTCACCCGCTCCAGGCTTTGGTTGAAATGACAGCCAAAACTCAAGCTTTGAAGACTCGATGGCAAGGTCACCTGCTCCAGGCTTTGATTGAAATAAAAGCCAAAACTCAATCTTTGAAGAGTCGGTGGCAAGGTCACCCGCTCCAGGCTTTGGTCGAACCAATGGCCAAAACTCAAGCTTTGAAGACTCGATGGCAAGGTCACCGGCTCCAGGCTTTGCTTGAAATAAAAGCCAAAACTCAAGCTTTGAAGACTCGATGGCAAGGTCACCCGCTCCAGGCTTTGGTTGAACTCAGCGCCAAAACTCAAGCTTTGAAGACTCGATGGCAAGGTCACCTGCTCCAGGCTTTCGTTGAACAAATTGCCAGAACTCAAGCTTTGAAGACTCGATGGCAAGGTCACCTGCTCCAGGCTTTGCTTGAAATAAAAGCCAAAACTCAAGCTTTGAAGAGTCGGTGGCAAGGTCACCCGCTCCAGGCTTTGGTTGAACTCAGCGCCAAAACTCAAGCTTTGAAGACTCGATGGCAAGGTCACCCGCTCCAGGCTTTGGTTGAAACACTCGCCAAAACTCAAGCTTTGAAGAGTCGATGGCAAGGTCACTCGCTCGAGGCTTTGGTCGAAATTCCTGCCAAAACTCAAGCTTTTAAGACTCGATGGCAAGGTCACCTGCTCCAGGCTTTGGTTGAAATCCTCGCCAAAAGTCAGCTTTGCAAGGCTGCAGGGGAGATGCTGTAAGTACTCTCCGTGCGTTGTTCCTTCAAGATGTGTAAGGCCTTCAAGTTCAAACTCTCTCTCACAAGTTGGGAGTTCACAGGCATAACGCCATGCTGTATACACATCGGTTGGTATGTAAGTGCAGGACAGCATTGCGGTTTTTCCAACAATCCCCTGGTCTTCCAAGTTTTCATCCAGTGTCAGTTTTCTATTCACACTATGCACGACGAGCTTTGCGCCTGCCTTGCATGAAAGATTCTTTGACACCAACCTGCGCAGGTCATAACCAAGCATGGAGCGACTCATGGTCAGTGTCACTGCTTCCCCAGTCAAGCACAGCACCTGAAGCTCGATCTTATCAATTTCATCTACCGCACCTTTGTCAGCAGATGATGGATTTAAGTAGCCATGCTGTGCACCGGACATTGGTCGAAATTTACACACGCACCACGAAAAGAGTGTAGCCGAAAGGTCTTCAACGCTGCTTGATTTTTCATCTATGGCCTGTCTTAGTCCTGTACTGTAAAGGTTGTCTGCTGTGTCCAAGAATGGGGTACCGCAAAATCGAGGAAAATTCCCCACTTTGTCCCATGATTTCCCATTTTGAATCATCTGATAAAAACCCATATCCCCATAATTTCCGATATCCAGTTGTAAGTGGACTAACCCTATAATCAAAAACAATGAGGATTACATAGGTTTATCCCATTACATGTATATAAAGTAACTATTATGACACCCCTGTGTTTGTTGGTTAAAGGGTCATACCCAGTTATATGATTCACCAGAGTTTAATATACAACCAACAAGATGAAGCCCACGAATATGATTCACCAGAGTTTAATATACAAACAACAAGATGAAGCCCACGAACCCGAATGCTCACACGTATGTTAATGGTACAGATGTCAAAACACATGGATATGCAGTCACGCACAATACCTTTCTGCAATAGTTTATTTGAACAGTCTTTTACATGTTTCCCTTGTTACCAGTCTGCAGTGTGAAGTGGAAAGTGTAGAGTGTGGAGTGTGGAGTGTGAAGTAAGGAGTGTGGAGTGTAAAGTGTGGAGTGGGGAGTGTAGAGTGTGTAAAGTGTAGAATGCGGAGTGTAAAGTGTAGAGTGTGGAGTATGGAGTGTAAAGTGTAGAGTGTGGAGTGTAGAGTGTGGAGTGTAGAGTGTAGAGTGTGGAGTGAGGAGTGTAAAGTGCAAAGTGCGGAGTGTGGTGTGTAAACATTGAACAAAATTTTGCAGGGCAGCATTCAACATATTACAATATGGGTTTCCTTAACTATACGATATTGTACGTTTGTACACACAGCCCTGTGAACACACATATAACACACACACACATATATTTGCAATAAAGCATAGTTTGCTTCGCTGAAGACTAATTAATTTGCCCTACCATTTGGGGGCGCCAAAAACTGCCATCCCCGGGAAGGGATGAAACAAATTCTATCCCACCATCATCCGATCATCCCCTTGGGGGCACACCTTGGCGGCCTTGTACCGCCGGCATCCGACACCCGCCCCACGCGCGGGTTGTGGAGACCCGATTGGTCCACTGGCGACAGATCACGGAAGACAAATAGGGTACCCAGTCACTTGAATTCCAATGGTTTATCATCACAATACTGCTACTTTGAGAACGTAAACTAAAATGTCCACTTTGGTGTATCCCCCAATGTGCCACTATTGTGCTGCATCAGTTAACGCAATCATGATCACTGCTGACACGGCGCATGAAACGGGGGTCCCAATCATTTTTGGAAGACCCACATCTTCTGTGAACCCCTGTGCAGAATGTAAGGTCATGCAGTGTAATGTTCCAGTTTTGAGTGGTTCTTTTTAACCACAGTTAAAGGCGTTCTATCCCAACTAACATGGGGGTTAATACTATGACCCACTAGTGACCCCAACTGAACCAGAGACTTGACTGACTTGACCTCCAAGTCATCACCAACTAACCAATGCCCATCGATCAAATCTCAGGTGAGTCCTTAAACCAGCCCGTTCAGGGCTGATCATAGGGCCCAACCTCGGTCGATGGCATGATCATTTACCAGACTAATCAATTTTACACAATGGTAATAGAAAACATCACTTATTTGTTATATGTAAGTTCCCTGCTTCCTTCTGAATCTAGAGACAATTTTGTGCAGTGTTTGATGTTGAGAAGACGTACGACGCTCTTAAGAATATATATCAAGAAATATCAGTACAGTAATCTATAAATAACACATTATTCAAAGTTGTTAAGTTCCAACCATTCTATGTTGGACACCTCAGTTTGGCTGAACTGCACCAAAAACAAAACAACACTTTCCCGAAAATTATCAGAACTAAAACATATTGAGTGTTTGGGTTGATAAGGAGAATACAACTATTAACTATTGTTAGTGAGTTTTTTAACCAACTTATATTTCGGGTGCCTTACCTTGTACATATTAGCTGCCGACTCTTATTTACTCTCGGGCAATTACCAAAAAAAAAACTACATCCTAAGCTCTCCCAAATTGAACTGCATCATCATCTTTATGCCCCTTTGTGTTGGTGAAAAGCACATGTGTTTACTATAAAAGAAGGCAAAATCCCACATTTGCATGGTGAAATCATCAAAAATCCATTGAAACATGCAAAATCACCAAGTTCTATCACTTTCTCCCTGGATTTGGCTATGTTTCCCCGCATTTTTCCACCCGACCTCGCCGCCCCGGTGCTACTAAGTCCCCGGCACCGGCGCCAGTGGCGTGGCCTCCTTGGGCTCCGCCCGAGAGCCCACGGAGAGGCGCAGCAGGCGGCGCTGCTCCGCGGTGAGGCCCTGCAGTGGATGCATTAAAGTGAAATAACATTTCATACCTCTATCTTTTAAATAAATAATTATATATATATAGCTATGTATATATACATATATATATATATTTATATATTTATATTTACATATATATATATATGTGGTTTTAAAATTTATTTATTGATATTTATCAAGAAAAATGGACGAACTGATAATCATATATTTAACATATATATATATATATTTCATTAATTTAAGTTGCTTTAAAAACCTATAAGCACCTTTAGCTATAGTTACAAGTACCACAAATCATGGTTATTGGAATTATTTGCACCAACTTAGCTATCTAGGAGGCTCCACATTGTATCATATATTTATTATCTATATATTATAAATGGATATGATACATGGATGACAATTTATGTGCTCAAAATAAAAACGACTATAGATGTACTATGAACAAAAGATCTGAGGTGTATATATATACTAAATATATGGATATGAAAAATTGATTTATATATATATATGCCGTCTGCAAGGTAATAAATCTATTAAACATTTACCCAGAAAAATGGATTATCTATTATATGTACATGAAATAAAATTCAAACATGAATATAAAATATGGACATGACAAATGGACTAACAAAAAATGTGTATATGTAAATGAACATCATATCCATATATTACATATATGTTCTATATGTATATACATACCCTGGCGTAGACAATATTGAATATTTACATATATATAAATGGAAAAAAAGATAATTATTGTAACTAGTAGTTAGCTAGTTGATTGTGGGAACATTTTTGTGTGGGACGTATGTGATACTCATCAATTAGATCGGTTTATTGAAAACTAGCCCTTCGTATTTTCAAGAAGAATTGGCACAAATTTAAACGATTCAATGATTCAAAAACAAAAAGGCGGATATAGTACTTCGATTATGTACTAGTCTGGATGGAATGTATTTGCCATCTATATAAATATAAATATATATATATGTATATGTATTTATTTACATGGATCTAAATAGATTCACATCTTTTATGGGCTTATAACCACTATAGAAAACAGTTCCAAAATATTAGGTATTATGGCTATGTAGAATTTTGAGCGAATACAACCCCATAATGTAACTATTGCAGAACTATTATATGCTCTATTATTAACATATAATGCGTTTGCAACATTTATACCATTTAGCTATATATTATAGATTTTAGTGATTATGGTTAATAACATTGCGCACAGAACCGGACATTCGCCCGGAGCCCGTGCTTTCTTGGACGCAATGGCCCTTCTTTTCCACAAACCTTCACGAAGTCTGCGAAGAGTTTTTGCCGCAAATTATTGTGAAACGAGCCATGAAGCAATTTGTGTGTCGTACGCATGGCACAGGGCCACACCTAGTGTACCGTCCTTCCCTGCAAGGCGCTTAGAATCGCGGATGACACAGGTGTTAAATCATATATATTATGTCGTCTTGGGCGAACGTTAGGTTCTACGGGTAACATTTACGTGTATATATATATAGCTATATATGTATACATATATAAAATTCTATGGTGTTAAACTTTTAGAACTATGGTTTATCTAGTATTAATGGATGGGAAACAACTTAAACATTTCATTCATGGTTTATGGTAGATGTACCGATTGTTGATCGTGATTATAAACCCGATTATAGTGTTGATAGTGAGATATATATATATAGTAACATACTGATTATGGTATGATATAGAGATAATAGTGAGATTCACAACCATCGTATCATAAGATAGTTATGGATTATTACATATGGATTCATGAACATCACAATTAAAACATGTAGTTCATAGAACGTAGTGGAATTGTCCAAACGGATTTATGGATCTTAACTATTACACAATGTTGGTTATTGATTACTTTGGATTGATATGGATTAAACCGATTTTCAAAAACTAATCATATCTAATCAAAAACAATTCACATCATTAAGAGCGCTCATAGGGTAAGTAGCACACAATACTTGACCCAAAATATCATGGAATATAGCATATAAATTGTATTTATTCACAATATCTATGAAATCAAAAATATATGTTGTGGAAATAGATATAGTGCATATGCATGTTAACATTATATGTTAATATGATATGGAATTCACAAAAAAAACTTAAACAACGTGTATATATATATACATACATATACATTGAACCTGAATGGATCTTAACATACCTTAACTATTACACAATTTTGACCCAGCGTATAATGGGAATATAATGGTTGGATCAGTATGGAATAGTGGCTATTGTTGGATTATATATATATAAAATTGTAAAACTATTACAAAGCAAGGTGATTCATTACACTGGAATTATTACCATTCCAAAAAACAAGTGAATTAGCAACTATTGGCATTCTGGCAAATATATAGTTGGATTATAGAAACTATTATGGCATTATTACGGGATTATAATATAGAACAGAACTATCACACGATTCAAACCCACCAATGGGAATATATGGGGATGATCAACTTTTCTTGGGCAATGAAATATGGATGAGATTTATGTAATCGAATGAGAATGGTGAGGTAGTGCGGGCAAGAATCTCCACGGATCCCATGCAAGGTGACCATGTCATCGAGCACCGGCATCCTCCCCGGAGGTCCATTGCACTTGACCAGAATAGCAATAGGCCAGGTCTCCCCCGAAGTGCCCGCAGTTCCCGATGCTGTGGTGGCCGCTCGCAAAGCAAATTTGCATTGCGGGTAACGTCCTTGGCTCCCAAAGACGTAGCACACCCGGCCAATCACATCCACAGCAGTTATTGCTGGAGGATCCTGGGACACCAGGTCCGCAATGGAGCGTGGAGCTGGTCCAGCCGCTGGCACCACTGCTGCCTTGGCGGAAGCCTTTGCAAATCGCGGCATGCTTGGGATTACAACCGACCAATGCAATTGGATTTCTAGATATTTATCGTACATACAGCAGATAGATAAGCAAAAAAAGCAAGTTCAAAAAGTAAGTGTTCACTAATTTTGTAAAATTTTGTGATCAGTTCAAGTCTTTTGAACCTGATGACTCCACGTATACTAAAACCAGCAGTGACGTCGAAGTGAGATCACTAGACTATTTTTCATCCAGATATATCTTATACATATATGGCTATGGGCTATGGGTCAAAACAATATATGTACAGTACGTGAACCCCAAAATAGCTGGTGAATGGATGTTCATCCTACTAGAATTGATAATAATAGGCTTTGACCCACCCCCATATGTACATATATATATACATGTGCATGTCTATACATAATATCGGTTTGTCTGAAATGTGGATAACTATGGTACCCCGAAAAAAAAAAGCTCATCATCACTTCAATTACCTACTAAAAGTTTCACTTGAAGGGGTATACCGCATTTTCAGATAGACCCATATATGCAGGTTTCCTAAAATGACAGGACTCCAAATCATCCCACATTAGACTATATGTTTAGTATTGAAACCCATGGTGACTTGGGGATCCCCCATTTATGGAAACCCCCATACGGGGATGGGTCAACACCTACTAATACCATATTTTGGATATATTTGGGGGAATACTCATCCATTAACCAGCTATGACTTAGCGTATCTGGGATATCTAGGGTACCAGGGTTTTGACTATCCACATCCTTTTGTAGCTTTACTCTGGGTCTTAAATTTTGACTCATTACCAAATGTTGAACATATACATGAGAGCATATCATTTCCAAGTTATTATATATATATACAAGGTGGTG